TGTTGGGTAATTTGAGGATTTTGCACCAAAAGAGCTTGAAGAGCTTCTTGATCAAAATTGGACACACGGCCTCGACCACTCTTGTCATCTAACGAAAAATTTCCCTCGCGAAATTTCTCAAACTAACGCTGGCATTTTCTGGCGCTAACTGCATCTTGACCAAGAGCACTACAGATGTTTTTTGCAGCCTCACTTGCTTTTCTTCCTAATTGGAACTCGTAAAGCATGCAGTGCCGAATATGCTCTTCATCCGCCATCTTCTTAGCCCTAGTTTTGCAACAAAAACCAAACCAAACACAAACTTTTTCAAGCAAAACTTGTTAATTGCACTTCAGACGTTCTGTAGATACCACGTGTTTGAAGGTTCTGTCAATACAAGTCAACGCCAAACAAGATTTTAAACGAATGTTTAAAAACGACATTAATTATTACTAGACCCGATAGATGTAAAAATTCTAAGCAATAGCTAACAAATAAAATGCAACATTATTTTAAAAGGCTAATACTCTATGACCAAGTAAAATTTATCCCAAGGAATGTAGGATTCATTTAACATTTGAAAATCAATAAATGTATCTCAACATGTTAACAAACAAAAAAAGAAAAACCATATACTCATATAAAGAGTTTATCTTACACATCAATTTGTTGACATTTTGTTTTTGCAGGTGGCCAATGAAGTGCCATTTAATCTCAGGACATGAAGACAGAATCTGAAGAGAAAAAGGTAAAGAGGTTTGATGTGGATTTTACGGAGGCCTAGCTGGCTCAAATATTTCGCACACTCCCTTCTGACTTTTCATGTCTCTGCAATAATGCACTACCACCACCTTCAGTTAGGCTCCTAAGGATACTTAGCAAGACATTTAAAGCTTCTGTTCTTTTTCTCTTCCTTGTTCCTATCAACTCCCTTCATCTTTCAGATGTTGTCCATTAAGAATGAATTGATTAAAGCTTTCAAATCTCAAAAGGATCCAAAATTACAACAAGCTCCTAAAAACCACTATTTTAAAAAACTTGCAAAGGAGAAAACTAGTCTTTTAATACAGAAGGAAAATCAGAAATATTTGGGGCTCTAGGTGACTGTGGACATTTCTACCACCAATCCAACCTCCTGCTCTAAAACTCCAACTCCAACGTGGGTCTAATTTTCAACTGAAATGCTAAGATTTAGATGCAAACGCAAGAATTCAGATAGCTACTTACTTTTGGATTTGATGCTTTTTCTAGCAGTTCCTGAACCTACAGGGTAGAAAAAGACACATTAGAAGTGTGGAAAACATGACTCTTCTGAAGGCAGTTTGGAAAAGGGCTCTTACATAGTTCTCTCCGAAAGTGCGCTGGCCGTGGCTGTAGGCCTCAATCACCACATCTGCAGGTTTGGTTTTGCTGACAGCTACCAGCCGGGGCTCGATGGCTGGGAGGTCCTGCCAAGAGGGAAAGAGCTAGATAAGTGAATATCTGAGGATATTATCATGATAAGTCCTGTAAGATAGATCCTGTACAATAGATCAGCATAGATCTTAACTTGTTTTTGGTAAGCTCCATTTTTCCAGTACTGCAGGGAGATCAGTTCCAAATAATGTTGTTCAAATGTCTTTCAAATGCAATGCATCTAAATCTGTTAGCTGCTTTAATATTTAGCAAAAAACATTTCTTAGGAGAGCTGGGCAGGTAAGTAAAAGAAGTACATTTCCTTAAAATGCAGTCTTTGACCAACTGTTTCAGCTCCAGACCTACTGAATTTGAATCTTTGGGGCTGGGGTCTGAGAATCTCCTTTTTAAACAAACTCTCCAGATCATTCTTTTGCACACCAAGGTTGGAGGTTTAAGAATCACTTAATTGCCCTGGCCGGTATGGCTCAATGGGTTGAGAGGTCTCTGGTTCAATTCGTCTGGGTTGCTGGGCTTGACACCCAGTAGGGGGCATGCAGGAGATGTTTCTCTTTCCCTCTCTCTAAAAATATTAAAGAAATATTTTTTTAATAACGAAAAAAAAAAAAAAATCACCAGTAGTGGAAGGCACCACTCTCTGACTAGAAGGAAGGCCACTTCTGGTTTCTGAAACCCTCATATTAACAGTTTTGGAAACTCATTCTGATCATGGTATAATTATTAACATTGATCCTATTCACTTTCAAAAGTGGCCTGCTTAGAATAAATCTATAATCTATTGTTCAATCTAGTCAAGAACCAGTGGCAGACCTGAGGCAGGGATGCACAAAAACTCTGGACTCAGGATTAGACCAAGTATCAGACCCCCTTCTCATGGTCGTTCCATGAAGAGCCAGGCTTCCCCAAATTCTACTGCAACAAAGACCACACAGAAGCAGTAAGAGAAGAGATTCACCTCTCCTTACACAGTTCAGGTACCCTAATCACCCTTTTGCAATTTTTATAGAATCACACTATTCTCAAAGGGCCTGAGAAGTCAGGTCAATTACAAAGAGTTTCTTCGTCCTTCTGACCGTGTATTAACCTTTTATAACACCATGTCACAGCTCCCAGGATTATGTTGACCTATACTGAAGGTTTCCAAACAGAGAGGTGAAAACAGGCAGCAAGTCTGCCTGAGGGCTATGCTGGGAAAACCTCCAAGTGTGATGTTTATTAGGGAAATCTCCAGTTTATCTTGGAGAATCGCTGAGAATCAAAGAACATTAACTCCAGGAATGAGCTCAGAGCAATCAGTTCATTCCCTTGTCTGTGCAGAGGAGGAAACTTGGGACCAGAGTAGCTAAGTGACTTGTTGAAGGTATTAACTAGTGGCTATACTAATACAGCTCTTCTGTCTCTAGGCCAACATTCGTTTTTAATTTTAATTTTTAAATTATGGTCTACTTTCAATATTATTTTGTATTGGTTTAAGGTGTACAGCATAGTGATTAGACAATCATATACTTTACAAACTGTTCCCCTCGATATTTCCCCACCTGGTACCATACATACTGAAGTATTGTTGACTATTTTCCCTATGCGGTATTTTTTACATCCTTGTGACTATTTTGTCACTACCAATTTGTAATTCTTAATCCCTTCACCTCTTTCACCCATTCTCCCAACAGTCCTCCCCTCTGGCAACCATCAATCCACTGTGTCTCTGAGTTCCAGGCCAGCATTCTGAGTTATTTTTTTTTTTAAATATATTTTATTGATTTTTGTACAGAGAGGAAGGGAGAGAGATAGAGAGTCAGAAACATCAATGAGAGAGAGTCATCAATCAGCTGCCTCTTGTACACCCCCAACTGGGGATATGCCCACAACCAAGGCACATGCCCTTGACCGGAATCGAACCCGGGGCACTTCAGTCCCAAGCCGACGCTCTATCCATTGAGCCAAACTGGTCCCGGCATGAGTTATTTTTTTTAAACAAATATTTTTTATTGATTTTAGAGGGGAAGGAAGAGGAAGAGAGAGAAACATCAATGATGAGAGAATCACTGATCTGCTGCCTCCTGGGCGACCCCTACTAGGGATCCAGCCTGCAACCCAGGCATGTGCTCTTGACCAGAATGGAACCCGGGACTCTTCAATCCGCAGGCCAACAGCTCTATCCGTTGAGCCAAACTGGCCAAGGCAGCATTCTGAGGTCTGACGCCATAAGTACTGAGGAGAAACCTTTGACCTCTCTGTTGAGGTGTGTCTCACTCCACACCATCCGAGGGGGCGGGGCAGTTGACTGACCCTTAGTTTAATGAAATTTCAAGAGAAGACAAAAAATATATATAGGAAAGGAGAGATATGGGGGAGATAAGAGATCAACCGAGGGACTTGTATGCATGCATATAAGCGTAACCAATGGACACAAAACTCTGGGAGGGAGGGCATGTATGGGTGGGGGGAGGGCAATGGTAAGATATGTACACATATAATACCTTAATAAAAAAATAAAAAAAATATGGGAAAAAAAGTCTCCCCTTAAGGCACATGTGTCAAACACAAGGCCCGCGGGCCAAATTCGTCCCGCCAGGCCTTGCAATGTGGCCCGCACGGTGCTGTCATCACTGCACTCTGCTGCATTTCCATCACAATGACAGTTTATGACTGTTCAGTAAACCATTCGGCCCGCGATTTAGGCTGGATTGTAGATTTTGGCCCCTTCTCTGATGAAGTTCGACACCCCTACCTTAAGGGGATCAGATGTCAGCTCCCTCCCGCCGCAAACGCGCAAGCGCAGCACGGTCGGGCCAAGCGATCACCGGCACCAGGAGGATCTGACATTCACTGAGCACCTACTAGCTGCCAGGCGCCGCCACACACGTGACCTCAGGCGGATCGGGCCTCCTTGGGGTGCTCTGGGAGGAGACGTCTTTTCCTGCAGCTGCTGGGCACAGGCCCGACCCTTCTCCCGGCCGCTAAGGTTGCTGATTCCTACACGAAGCGGGATGGGCCAAAGCCGCGAGGCCTGGGGGTCGGTCCTTTCCCCGGGATGGCGGACACCTTCTGCTGCAAGTAAGCCAACCTCCAGGAGACCTGCCAGTCTCTTCTCGAGGCCGCCGAGGGAGCCAGCCCTTGGCTAGCTTTTTGGGGCTTTAGAGCCCGTGCCGCAGCGAGGGAGGCGCACGGCCCCGCCCCTCCGGGAGCGCCCTCTGCGTCACCGTGACGACCTGTTCCCACGCAGGTGTCCCCCTCCTCACAGCGGCCGCCCACCGTCCCCACGCGCTCCCTTCCTCACCCGTGGCCGCCGCGCCACCGCCTGCTGCACGCGTTCCTTCACTGTCCGCAGAGCAAACGCGACTCCCAGCTCCGCCGACATGCTGCCAGCTCTCCACATCCCCAGGGACAGACGTGAAGACTCAGACCCCGGCTCCCCGGGGCTGAGGCCGCCTTCCGGTCCAGCCCAGCTGACGCCTCTGTATGGCCCAATCAGCGCTCACGTCCGAATCGTCTCACCCAATGGGCACTGGGCGCCGCGGGGGCGGGGCGGGGCGGGGCGGGTAACAGAGGCCCCGCCCATCGTGGACGGCCATCTTGGGGAGGGTCGCCATGGGCACCGCGGCCGCTGGGCACCGGGTCTTCCTGGCGTCGTGCCGGTGCCGCTGGAGACCCTTCAGAGGCCCGGCCCTAGCAGGACCTTCTTGAAGCAAAACACGCGGCCTGCTCCCTTCCAAACGCCTCCCGTTTTCCCGTCGCTGCCGTTGGGAGAGCTGTAAACCAGGATTTCTGTGCGCAGGGACTGGGATCCGAAGCAGCTCAGGCGGCGGGGGACATCGCTCCTGTATCTCAGATATTCTTGTGAGGAGCCGCTGAGAGACGTAAAAGACTCGGCATACTCCCGTGTACGGTTGGTTTCCTCCTCTCATCCTCTAGACGAGTTGCTGTCCAAGAAACATGGGAGCCACATAGGAAATTTTAAAATGTCGACGAGGCACCTACCAAGTAAAAGCTTAGTAATACATTGTGTTTAACCCAAATAAGGTTTCAACCTGTAACCAATAAACTTCAAATGAGACATTTTAATTTCTTTTTCTTGTTTAGTTTCCAAAACCCGGTGTAGCTTTGACCTGCAGCATGCCTCAGTCGGGGCTGTCCTGTTTCCAGTGGCCAGAAGCCGCCTGTCAGGGCTCCTCTGGGTGCAGCTCAGGCCATGCGATGGTCATGAACGGGGTGAGGAGCCAGACAGCACAGGGACTAAACTAACAAGGTAAAAACTAAACTTGTCAGATGGTGGAATAGTGGGTGCCGTGGGCAAGTAGAGATCACTTTTGGCTGTACTGTTGCTTGTCAAATATTAGTTCAACTTAAAGAAGTGGGATGGCGCCCGAACCGGTTTGGCTCAGTGGATAGAGCTTCGGCCTGGGGATTTAAGGGTCCCAGGTTCAAGGGCATGTGCCTTGGTGGTGGGCACATCCCCAGTAGGGGGTGTGCAGGAGGCAGCTGATCTGTGTTTCTAACTATCCCTCTCCCTTCCTCTCTGTAAAAAATCAAAATATATTAAAAAAAAAAAAAAGTGGGATGATGTTATGTTGGAGAAAGGGCTCCAGTTTGTTCTGCAGGTTGCCTTGAGGTGACTGGAAAAGTAAGGGCAATTATTCTTACTTTCTTCACTCTTCTTCTTCCCGGACCTCAGGGACTGAAATGGAATTTCACATGCTCTTCTCCATGAAGATCACTTTGGGTCCTTGCCATCAAGGACTTCTTTCGGGGAAGTCTCCATTTACCAGGCACACAAAACTAGGATTGCCAAAGACATTAGGAGACGTTGTTTTCAAATGTTTCTGGACTTAATTTCTATTCCTGCCCAAGTGGTAAAAATTTAACCATGACAAGAATAGCCCTTCATGGTGTGAATATGAGAGATGTTTGCTATAGATACAGCCTTGAAGGGTGCTAGCCAGCCATCAGTGGTGGGAGGAACAAGGGGATTACAGTGATGGGAACCATAGTGAAGGAATGTGTGTAGAGCAAGGATTGGGTGAGCATGAAACGTTTAAAGTGTTATGCTATTTGGAAAATAACACAGGTCAGGTCAACTCCCCGACCTTAGCCATCATGGCATACATGTGTGTAGCTCCCAAAAAGGCATTAGGAGAGGGATTTAAACTTTCAAGCCAATAAGGTAGTGGTAGCAAGATTGGATAGAGGTGGCATAGGAGTGGCACAAGTTGAATCTTGGTTTTGCTACTGAACTGTGATCTTGTATAAGTTACTGAAATTCTGTTTTTCATTCATAAAATAGAGTCAATATTCCCTTCAGAGTTTCAGTAAGAATCAATCAAGAGAACATGTTACAGCCCTAGCTGATGTGGCTCCGTTGGCCGTCATCCTGTGCACCAAAAGGTTGCAGGTTTGATTCTTGGTCAAGGTACATGTCTGGGTTGTGGGCTTGATCCCTGGTGGGGCTGTGCAGGAGGCAGCTGATCGATGTCTCTCTCTCTCCATCCCTCCCTCCCTTCCTTTTTCTCGCAAAATACATTTAAAAAATTTTAAAAAAATATATTTTATTGATTTTTTACAGAGAGGAAGAGAGAGGGATAGAGAGTTAGAAACATGGATGAGAATCATTGATCAGCTGCTTCTTGCACACCCCCTACTGGGGATGTGCCTGTAACCAAGGTACATGCCCTTGACCGGAATCGAACCTGGGACCCTTCAGGTTCCATAGTCCGCAGGCCAACGCTCTATCCACTGAGCCAAACCGGTTTCGAAGCAAAATACATTTTAAAAAACTTAAAAAAAAAAAGATAATGTGTTACACACTTAGAAGACTGCTCCCCCCCCAAACCAGGTGCAAATGTTCAATGAGTGTGAGTCTGCCCACTCCCATTTATCCATTCAGTCAATATTTATTGAGGCATTTCTCTGAAAAAGGTACCTTGGGGAGACCAAGATGAGTAACACTGGCTTTACTATGAATTTGTTTCTAATATGGTTTTTATTTTTAACATTCTATGACTTTATGAAAATGGAAACAAGGACAAAAAGATCATGGTGACTCCAGTTCATTATCACTTCACATTTTCCAATTTCTTTACTCCTGTTTTAACTTTTATTCATTTACTGATTTTTGAGAGGGAGGGATGGAAGGAGAGAGAGAGAAAGGAATATTGAGAGAGATTTGTTGTTCCACTTAATTATGCATTCATTGGTTGCTTCTTGTATGTGCCCTGACTGAAAATAAAACCCGCACCTTGGGGTATTGGGTAACAATTTCTTTGTTTGCTGTGCTTTTGAATAAACTTTATTTCACCTTTTTCTTCTTCTTATATTACTTTCTTCTCTTCCTCTTCCTGGAACATAAAACATCTAGTTTAACATTTCCTTCCCTACTACCTAATCTTTGAAAAATCCAGGTCTAAAATCACTTTATTACTAGTTAACTGTCTTTAAATTTCTTCAATAGTTTGCAAGGATAAAGAGGAAAAGAAGAAAGATTAAAAAGCCAAATATCTACAGGAGTAGATTTCCTAGACAATCTAAAACCTAGTATACTTATTCACCATTAATGACATCAAGCTTTTAAAACATTTACCCCCGTAGTGTAAGGCCATGAATTATGAAAAAAACCTATTTGGATTTTAAAATTGTTTCCTTCTGAGCGTACTGTCCTTTGGGGGAATAAAAAAAGATAAAATAGAAAATTACCGTTGCCTGCTTACTTGGCTCTGAAGAAAAATGGAGAAATAATGCTCCTGTTCCAGTTTAAATGAATTCAGGTAGAGTAGCCATGACAGCAACCCCTCAGCAAACACATTGTCACATCTGGCTTCTGAAATGTCAATATAGATTCTCGAACCCTAGGCTTGGGGAGGGCCTCTAGAGATCACTGATCTTTCATATAGATAGAATGACATTTAAACCACAGAATCTTCCCGATTTCTGAAGACCATGAGAGGAAAAAAAAAAATTACCCACTCTTATCCCTGGATTTATTTTCTATTTGCAGAAAGCTACTACTTCCCATTTCAAATTTTAGCCAGTCTTAAGTAAAATCTTAAAAACCACTGTATTCTGCAAGCTAATTTCCTTCTCTGGTCTCTGAAGAGTCAGAGAATACCTAGCCAACCATTATGCAGCTTTTATAAACATAAAGTTGCTAAATTTCCCTTCTGCTTCTCTGTGGTCAACCCATGAGCTTTATCTTTTAACTACATTTTTCTTTTGGTTTTAACATTTTGTTTTCTCTCTAGCCTTTTCAAATCTATTTTTTTCTAAGTAGAGCCTGGAACTAGCAATTCTCTCAATAGGGCCATACCAGATTGTTTCCTACACGTTACATATGTAGAAGTATTGTATGTATTCTCAATACTATGTTTGCTGGATTGCAGTGATTTCCTCCCTCAATGTGCTGTCCTGTTTGTAATCTTATTTTGTTATCACATACGATTTTCCATTTAGTAGTGCCTACTTAATACTTTCAGCCTGTTTTTTCCAGATGACTGAAAATAAGTATTTTTGAACAGATATACACACTAGACACAGTGTTAATCCCTTTAAGTTCATTATTTAATTAATTCAAGCCATTTTATAGATGAAGAAATAGGCCCAGACATGTTAAGGAATTTATTCAAAACCTTATTCCTCAGAAGCAGTAGAGTTGGGATTTGAGTCTTGGCAGTCTAATTCCAGTATTTACATTCTTAACTTAGCCCTTCTTTGTAAATTCAGATTACATGTATAATGGGCTCTCAAAACCAATAAAGTTTGGGAGCATCATTAAAAAACCTGAGAAAGCCTGGGCTGGGGTTGCCAGATTTAGTAAATAAAAAGATAGCTACTTAGTTAAATGTGAATTTTATGTAAACAATGAATAACTTTTTAGTATAAGTATGTCTCATGCATTATTTTGGAGCTAATTATGCTAAAAATTATTCGTTGTTCATATGAAATTCATGTTTAACTGGGCATTCTTCATTTGGCAACCCTAGGCTGAGCATCTTTTCAGAGTAGAGAATGGGATTTTTTCACCGAATTGATATTACATTGAATTATGGGGCAACTAAAAGTATCTCTGCTCTTTGGAGCAGAATTGCAGTGATATATGGATTCTTTTAAAAAAAATATATTTTATTGATTTTTCAGAGAGGAAGAGAGAGGGATAGAGAGTTAGAAACATCAATGAGAGAGAATCATCGATCAGCTGCCTCTTGCACACCCCCTACTGGGGATGTTACTGCAACCAAGGTACATGCCCTTGACCTGAATCGAAACCGGGACCTTTCAGTCTGCAGGCCGACGCTCTATCCACTGAGCTAAACCGGTTTCGGCGATATATGGATTCTTTAAAATTATAAATCTCTATAGTACCTAACAAGAATTATGCAATGTTCACAAATTAGTTGTTTGTTGTTTCTACATTGATAATGGATATATGTAATCAATATATAATCATATGAATATATTTTTAGGACAATCTTGTACTCAACTCACTAGGCAGGGATATTTTATTTCTTTATATAATCTATCCTAATATTAGCTATTGCTAAATTTCACTTTAATAAAAAAATAAATATAAATACTCATTTTATTTAGCAAGACTAAAAATAAAATTAAGATATAATTTCACATCTTTGGTGTTGTCCAAAACAATTCCTTTAGCTGTCAACACAAGGCAATTAATCCAGCATATCATTCATTTATAGAGGAATTACTATAACAAGAATCATTTTTCAGTTACAAAGGGAGTCATTAAACCCTCAGAGCTCTTTGAAATTAGATTTAGTTTATTAAATCACCTGCTTACATAAAAGGATAAACTAAAGGAATGGAGATCCTCACCCTGGCTGGTGTGGTCCAATTGGTTGGAGTGTCATTGGTACACCAAAAGGTGGTGGGTTAGGTTCCCAGCCAGGGCACATACCCAGGTTGCAGGTTCTACCCCAGGTTGGGGTGTGTGCAGGAGGCAGCTGATTAGTTTCTCTTTCACATTGGTGTTTTCTCGTTCTCTCTCAAAATCAATAATAATAATAAAAAGGAATGGAAATACTAACACAAAATGATTGGCTATTATTGTTTTTATAAAAAAAACCCTAGAGGCCTGGTGCATGAACTTTGTGCACGGGAAGGGGGTTGTCTCTCAGCCTGGCCTGCACCTGCTCCAATCCAGGGCCCCTTGGGGGATGTCCAACTGCTGGTTTAGGCCCAATCCCTGCGGTAGCTGGACATTCCTCTTGCAATCTGGACCACTGGCTCCTAACCAATTACCTGCCTACCTGCCTGATTGCCCCTAACTGGCCCCCTGATTGCCTCTAACCACTCTGCTTGCCTGCCTGATGGCCCCTAACTACTTGCTTGGGGTTAGAGACAGCCCATCAAGGGGCTGTCTGCCTACCCAATTGTTCCTAAATGCTAGTCTGCCTACCTGGTTGCCCCTAACCACTTGCCTGCCTACCTGATCACCCCTAACCGCTGGTCTGCCTACCTAATCATCCCTAACCACTCTGCCTGCATGATCACCTCTAACCACTTGCTGGTGGGCAGGGCTAGCCCTGTGAGGGGCCATGGTGGTTCTGGTCTAACGGTCGCTATGGTTGTGATGCTGTCACTGTCTCTGGCCTTTTATTATAAAGGACAATAAAAACAGTGGCTAGACTCCTACTGAATGGAACTAAAGGAATAGTGGCTAAGTTCATAGATTCAGAATAGCTGCTACACAAGATACAGATGGTCCCCTACTTATGACTTTTTTTTTTACTTGATGATGGTGCCAAAGTGATACACATAAATTTCATGAGATATTCAATACTTTTTAAAAATAGGTGTTAGATGATTTTGCCCAACTGTAGGCTGTAAATGTTCCTGAGCACATTTTATGATAGGCTATGCCAGTGGTCAGCAAACCGCGGCTCACTAGCCACATGTGGCTCTTTGACCCCTTGAGTGTGGCTCTTCCACAAAATACCATGTTCGGGCACGCACATACTGTGCAACTGAAACTTCATGGCCCGTGTGTAGAAGTCAGTTTTCAGCCTGGGCAAGTCTATTTTGAATAAGTGGTTCTAACGCCAAGCCACACTCAGGGGGCCAAAGAGCTGCATGTGGCTCGTGAGCCACGGTTTGCTGACCACTGGGCTATGCTAAGCTATAATGATCAGTAGGTTAGGTGTATAAATATATTTTCAACTAAATGATATTTAAGTTGAAGAGCATCTGTACATCTTATCCTTAAACTTAAATAAGTCAGTATTTATGATGATCTTATTTCCACTATTTACTCTCTATCAGTGATAAACTTACCAGTGTTGAAAGTTAGACCTGTAAAAATTGCAACAAAACACTTATAAAACTTATTTTTTTGATTAATATACAGTTAGTATATTAGCTATTGCTAAATTTCGCTTTAATAAAAAAGTAAATAAAAGACTCATTTTATTTAGCAAGACTGAAAATAAAACTAAGACATAAGTTCACACCTTTGTTGTTGTCCAAAACAATTCCTCTAGCTGTCAACCCAAGACAATTAAAACAGCATATCATTTGTTTTAGAGTCATTTCTATAACAAGAATCTAATATTAGAATATTAGAATAGGTGACATAAACAAGAGATAAGTTCCTATGGCATCTCATCAATGTATAATAAAACTTCACAGAATGAAACAATGTTATTTGAGGACCTGCTGTGTTACAAAAATTCTTTCAGTGATTTTTTTTCTTTCTCAACTTAATATGATGATAGGTACCTCCAAATTTATTTTATTTTGTTATATAAAAGTTATTAACAAACTCTTGCTTCCTTGTAAACATTCTGTTCTTATATAAAAAGTGATTAAAAACAGTACTGAATATGAATCACTTCTGCAAAGTTTAATGAGAAACATTCAACCAAGGTGACTTTTCCTTGGAAAATCCTACAAAAACTGAATTTTATAAACAGTTACTTATTTTGATTGAAGTTCCATTTATAAATAGCAGCCACAACTTTACTGCCTACAAAATTGCAGGCGATCACATTTTATGTATTTAGAATTCAAATGCTAAGATCAGATTTTCTAGTTAAGTGTTCAAGAAAGTCACACTGACAGACATGGCTATCCCATGCTAAGGAAAGAGCTGATTCCATGATCGTACTATTCAGGCAGGTGCAGACAACCACTGGATTTAAACTAGTGGGTACTACAACATTTATATATTGTATTTTAAAGGGGAAGTGACATTAGCAAAGAGGGGGCAGGGGCTGCAGGACTTTATTGATGCTGATTTTTGTGGTCCAAGAGTATGTAGTGCAAGGGACAAGCTATCATCACAGGATGTTAGTTTTAGAGGCTTCCAACATAAAGAATCTGAGCAAACGCGCTATTCTAAGAGGCTGAGATACTTTTGCTCCTCATTCAATTGTAGTGAAGTAGGGTCTACTGTGACCTAGGTAGCAAGTCTCAGAGGAGAGGGAGTAGACAAATATGTAAATCAGGGATTCTGGATGAAATATGCTGCTCCTAACAAGTGATTAATGGCATTGAAATGGGAGTAGGGGGTGTATAGCTTAGCAGTTGTCTTGGGAGACTGCGGGCCTTCTGAGCACATTCAAATCCATCCCTCTCAGGAACATTTGGCAGCCTGCACAGTGTGATCAGGACCAGTGGTTTGAGAATTCTAGTCCCCAAAAGTAGAAAAGAGAAGGGAAACACCTGAAACTTTGTTTCTTTCTAGGCAGGCTGTTCCCCAAACTTGCTATTTAGGAGCAAACTGGCATGAGTTCTGGGGCCATCTGATAAACTAGAGGTCTGGGCGTGGGACCAAAAAGGAAGGAGGGAGATGGGGAGGTGGGGATTTGAGCCAGAAAGTAGCATTCTAGTTTCACTGAGGGGAAAGGGGGTATAGTGGGAGTATTATTTTTTTGGGGTGGGATGGGGTGGGTGGGTAGCTACTAATAAGGCCAAATCCTAAACCCAAGCTGGTCATGGAGAATAGCAACATGCTTGCAAGTTAACTCCAGAAAGCTGCACTCAATAATTTAGTATACAACTTTGGGCTCTATAGGCTGCCCCCCGGCCCCCCAACTCCAATTCAAAGATGTAGGAAAACCTTCTTTCATGTTTGCTCTTCCCTATTCCAAATCTTCCAGAGTCACTCAAACTTTTCCTAATTAGTAATGAAAAAGAAAACATTTGAACAGAATTGGATGCAACCCGTGCAACCCAGGTTACTTGGGCAAGAACTCTGATTTGCTCCTACACAGCTGTCCATGGAAATTGAACATTTAGTCTGATTCCTGTGTGGCTGCCTAGAGCCCTGGACTTAAAAACATGTGCTACCACTACACCAGATAAACTCCCAACACAAGCCATATACATCAAAATGACGCTCCTTTCTCTTTCAAAGGAGCTCTTCAATTCTGACTTTTTACAACAATAAAAAGACACCTGCTCTCGCCCTGGCTGGGTGGTCAGTTGGTTGAGTATGGTCCCATGCATAAAAAAGGATGCAGGTTTGATCCCCAGTCAGAACGCATAGAGGAGACAACCAATCCATGTTTCTTCCTCTCAAATCAATAAAAACAACAATACATATCCTTGGATGCAGATTGAAAAAAAGAAAAAAAAAAGAAAAAAAAAGATATTTGATTTCAAGGAACATACAAAGTTTGCCAAGCAAGTATGATAGTGGCTAACAGACATAATAATCCCACTTTAGCAGCTATTAAGATACTTGAGTTGTTTGTTCCTGTCTTCTTGATGCTGACTGGAACCACTGAACAGACTGAGAGGGGGAAAAAACACAAATCACAGAATAGGTTAAAAGTTTTAAAAAGAATTGTGTGGTGATGACCAAACCCTGACTGACTGGCAGTGTAGTCCAAACCACCACATTAATCCTTAGGGCAAGGAGGGTAGTGTGTAGAGAAAAGCTAGCAAAATCTAGCACCAGTTCTTCCTTATGGGGGCTCAAGAGCATCCCTCTGAAATTACTCATGCATGCACTGCCAAAAACACCAGGAAAGCCAAACTCGCAGATGCTTCCCCACGGCTCTCCTGGCAAATTTACAAGCACTTATTTGCTCAGTGTGAACCTCACCTAGAGGCATCTCCCACCTTGGAGGCAGGGGAGAGAAATCTGGACTGTGTATTCCCAAATAAGGGAAATCAAATAACCTAAAAATAGGCAACACCTTCTATTTTTCCCACTCCTTAATGATAGCATCCTTAATTAAGCCAGCTTCAAAGGACTATAATTAGTGCCTGGAAGTCAAAGTTCAAACCTGTGGTTTACAAATCTTAACAGAAGTCATATAACCTACTTATAGCAGAAATAATATCCCCAAATCATCAATCCCTGCCCTTCATTCCCATGGGGATAGATTTAAGTCCATTTCTTTGTTTCTCACCACAGTACTTGGAAGACAGTCAAAGAAGGTTGTGTGAGAGGGAGGGGCATCCTGGTTCATCATTAAAAAATAAAGATCTCTTTAAGTGTCATCTGAGGTTATATAAAATTTTTTTTTTCAATTCTCCTCCGGGTCTGCCTCCAAGGGTTCATCTTCTAAGCCAAAACTCAGCTTGTCAGCGAGGTTCTCAAACTGCTTGCCCAGACTACCTGCAGAGTCCACGAACATGTTAGGGATGTCTTTGCCAAAGTAAATCTTGCTGTTGGAAGCAATGGCCTTGTACTTCATCAGCTGCAGATATTCGGGGGTTAGCTTCAGCTGCAAAAGTAAGAAGTGAAGAAGACTCAGATGGAGCCAGATTGGCGGAAACTATGGGTGACACTTTTTCACTTGTCATAAGGAGAGGGTCTCAGTCAAAGACACATGCCCTCTCTCCTTTTCCTGGCCACATTGTTACATTAGTGACAGGGTAACCACTTCTCTAGGAGGGAGTTATCTCAGCTCTTCAAGGCTAGAGCTGCAAGAGTTTTAGGAGTTCCCATGTTTCTTAACACAAACATTTAAAAAAATATTTTTACTGATTTTTTTTACAGAGAGAAAGGGAGATCGATGAGCGAGAAACATCAATCTGCTGCCTCCTGCACCTCCCCCCCTCCCCCGGGGATGTGCCCACAACTAAGGTACCTGCCCTTGACCAGAATCGAACCCGGGATCCCTCAGCCCGCAGGCTGACACTCTATCCACTGAGCCAAACCGGTCTCGGCCACACAAACATTTTTAACACAAAAATTACACTTCCATCAAGACACTGCTAAGGAAAAGGGAAGAACCTGTCCCACACAGCACAGGAGTTACCACTTCCACACTGGAACAAACAAAATCAGCCTAAACCCAAATACGAGTTCTCTTTGCCAGGCGGCACTGACTGTTTACCTTATTCGCTTCGGCCATTTTCATAGCAGTGTAGCACTCAGCATCAGCCTTTGCCTTCTCCCGCGCCAGAAACGCAGCATCTGAGGGGGAAACGCAGTGAACTGAAGTGCAGAGGCTGCCAGAAACCTGGGTCTGGTCCCTGTAACTCTCCCGGGTGCCTCTGTGACCCTGGGGTGAGTGCTCTTTCCCATCTGTGAAATAGGGGTAAAGTGCTCTGCCTGCATCTCCCTGAGGTGGGTCATGAGGAGGTCTGTTGCAGTGCCAACACCTTATCTGACAGCATTACTGAGAAAAGCACAGCTGCTCAGACACTTCCTGTTTCTGCACTCTTATTTTTTAAAATATATTTTTATTGATTTCTTACAGAGAGGAAGGGAGAGAGGGATAGAGAGTTCGAAACATCGATGAGAGAGAAACATCAACCAGCTGCCTCCTGCACAGCCCCCCCCTCCTCCCCCGAGATGTGCCCACAACCAATGTACATGCTCTTGACCGGAATCGAACCTGGGACCTTTCAGTCCACAGACCAATGCTCTATCCACTAAGCCAAACCGGTTTCGACTGTTTCTGCACGCTTATTCTGTTTGTACTTCCTGGTCTGGAGAGGGACCCTGCCTCAACCTCCTGGTTCAGAGCTTTCCACCTCATCCCTCTTAGGCTACACAGCAAAAGCCTAAAGAATACAGCCCGAGGCGGATCCACCCTAACACTGACTCCCATGAAATAGGTCCCTCTCCAACTTCATTTCCCTTTTCTTTCCATTAACTGTTTCAAAAGGGTTCTAATTAACAGGAGTTAAGCTGGCACAACTCTAAGAGAATTATAAGCCATGGTCCAGACCACATGTGTCAAACACAAGGCCCGCGGGCCAAATCCGTCCCGCCAGGCCTTGCAATGTGGCCTGCACCGCGCTGTCATCACTGCACTCCGCTGCGTTTTCATCACAATGACAGTTTATGACTGTTCAGTAAACCATTCGGCCCGCGATTTAGGCTGGATTTTAGATTTTGGCCCCTTCTCTGATTGAGTTCGACACCCCTAGTCCAGAATAACACCTGTTTGGTGTTTAAGACCTACTTAAACTTCTACTACATAAGCAATATACTTTCTCAATCTGCCAAGACCAGCTTTCAAGTTGATCCAAAATTTTTGGTGTTTACTTCCTTGCCTAGGGAATAAGGCCAGTCTCCTGTGAGTAATATCTGTAGCAAAAAGCCTAGGAGGAAAGGTCAGTCTGTGGGTGGGTCCTTACTTAAGCACACCCTCAGCCTGACTCTGAGTGGAAGGAGCCTACAGTCTGACTGCAGTTTGGGTTGCGAGCAACTGACTTAACTGGCCTTAGCACCTGATACATGTATTTATAAGAAATAAAAATGTGTTGCTTTGCTAAGGGCTCGCTAATGAGCTGTTGCTGATTTTCAAAATCCTAACTGGCTCCCCAATAGGCTCCTGCAAAGCTGGCAGGCCCCATAATGAGTGTAACTGGACACAGCATTTTGTAGTAGCCTGGAGTTGAGTCTTCAGGTCCCCTTTCTGCCCTAGAATATAACATGTGAAGGAAAAAGGTGGGTGATGGGAATGAGGTGAGGGCTGAGGGGCAGGGAACTGAAGGTGAGTAACATAGTGAAAAGTCAGCAAAGGAACACTTCCCTCCAGCTCCTGTTGTTGCTGCTGAAAAGGTGCTGTCTTCACACTTGGCTTAACATCTACAGAGAACCTGAGAGCAGGCTGAGGCCAGAGCTATGGAGTTCGAAGACTTCTCAGGCAGGGTGGGTAAGGCAGGAGGGAGAGAGCTGCATTTTGGCCACTTTTTAGTTTACTTCCACTGCCAGACTGCGAACTCCATGGCAGCAGGAACCTCCCAGTTCAGAGCTTTCCACCCTTTTTCTCATGCCTAACATAAGTGCCTAATAGCACACAACTAGCATTTGTCGAATGAATGAATGCTCTCTGAAGTGGAAAATTAATGCCAAATCTTCCCCAAAGTGAAAGCAGAGAAATAGTGATGTTCCAAATAAATCAAGAGATCTTAGAATGGGGCTTAAAGAGCAAAGGAAATGATTCCCTCCCCGCCCCCCCCACCACAAAAAAATGGCTTTAAGGAAAATTCAGGCATTAATTTCACTTACCTTCAATTTCTGAAATCTTTTTCTCAGTTTCCTTCTCCATAACCTTCTGTCCATAGGTGATTTCTGCAACCTGAGCCACCTTTTCTGCCTCTATGTTAATCAAGTTGAGAAAAGGCTTAGAGCTGGTATTTCAAAAGTTTGACTCAATTCCACCTTGAGTCAGATGGAGTGTACCAGTAAGCACAAACCACCTCAGCTCAAGACAGTAACTGGGGAGACGGGGCCCAAGTGAGGAGAATTGTTACCCTAATGGAAGCAAGGAGCAAATCCTAACCTCTCAAGTCACGAGGGTTATTTCTCCCAAAGGAATGTTTTAAGGAATAAGGTACTCTCTGAAAAGTTTCTTCCTGCCACCTCATGTTAGGCAGTAGTCAGGTTCGTTGTTGATGGTCCAGTACAGTGATGAAGAACCCAGGTTTGGAGCAGGGTCCTGGTATCTGAGCCCAGTTCCACCACTTAACTTGCCCTATGACCTTGGGTATGCTATTTAGCCTCTCTGTGCTTTAGCTCAGTAAAGAGAGGTAAATGATTATGTAGGCCCTGGCCGTGTGGTTCAGCTGGTTGGAGCATCGTCCTGCACATGGAATGATAGCAGGTTCAGTTCCTGGTCAGGGCACATACCCGGGCTGTGAGTTTGAACCCTTGTTAGGTATATACTGGAAGCAACCGATCAAAGTTTTCTCTCTCACATCTATGTTTATGTCTCCCCCCCAATCCCTCTCTCCCTCTCTCCCTTCCTCTTTAAAACCAATAAAAAGCATATCAGGTGATAAAAAAAAAAGAGAGAGGTATTTGGAAACTCAAAACTTATCACCCAGGCCATGATCTGACAATTTCAGCTTTGCTTCTGGGAGTATGAAAGCCACTCCTATGTGTGGCAAGGATTTGGAGAACCACGTGGTCTAACTGTGCCCAAGGTTTCCTCGACTCTCCCCACCATCCCCAGCCCTTCTGCCCTGAAAGGGGTTCACAGAACCACATCCAGACCAATGAGCGCCTTCTTCCGCTCTGTCTCAGCTTCTTTTTCCACCACCTTCTGTTTCTGGGCTGCAATGAGAAGCTTTGTCTTCTCACTTTCCCTGGAGGGGAATAAGAGTATACAATTGTGAGGCCACTATGGAAAAGCTTCCGAGGAACCTCACTGTCTCCTGGAGAAGCCAAACTTCTGAGGAGAGGAACTCTGATTTCTTACTCTCCCCTGGTAGGCTGTTCAATGTCCCAGGTAAAAACAAATTTGTTGCCAACAGTAGTACGGCTCTGCTCTTCCTCCAAAATAAGTCATTTGTGGGAAACAGAGCATAATTTACTTATTGTCAGCTGCCATCTGCTTTAAGTGGCCATTAGTAAAATACACCTGCCTGCCCACTTAATTGTCTTTCCCTCCTATCTTCTTAGGCATGAGCCATGAAGCACAGAAAAGGCCCCCCTGGTCCCTTTAAAAGCATCACTGCTCAAAAGGGCTTCTCCGTGGCTCTCAATCACAGTTACAGAGCCCCAGTGACCGTCCTGACACACCTGCTCCATCCTACAGTGCAATGGGCTGTGGCAAGTACTCAAGGAGAATAAAAGCATGGCACAGCTTCTGTTAACTCTGGGATGGGATGCGGGGGAGGTGGGAGAGAGTGGTGGTTACGGCTTAGGCAGAGGATACTCACATCAGCTCGTAGTTTCTGCGGATCGCCTCTGGTATATTGGGCTTTGTCACCCGCACAGCCTGGGGAAGGATAAAAAGAGCACCTGATGAGAAGGCGAAGGTAGGGTGACCAAGGTAAGCAGCTTCCCCTTGGTCCTCGATCTTCCTGCACAGAAAGGACATCCCTTGAAAGAGGGGATGCACCTTCATCAGGGGACGCTCCCACGGTGGCAATGCTTACTTGGATGACAAGCCCAGGGGCCATGGAGGTCAGGTCCTGTTGCAAAGCCAGTTTGAGGTTTTCATCAATTTGATCTGGAATCAAGAAAGACAGGAAAAGGAGCAGTCACACTATCGAGTAGGGTGGAGGGGAATACGGGGTAGAGGTAAAGAATGCACCTCACAAGCAAAAGGCCTTCCCAAAGTAAAGTGCTTATCGTAGCCCAGAAACCTAAAGTTCTCCAGCAAGACTTTCGGAGCAACATGCCCCACAGTCCCTCTACTCAGCGAGATGTGAGCATATCCTTTGCCTGTGGCCTCAAGAGAGAATTCCTAGGTTATTGAAAATATCAACCTCGCCCAAAAGAGGACTGAGCTTTAAAAAGGAAAAGAACAATAATTCCAGCAATTTCTTGAGTCAGGCAACAGTCTTTCTCAATACAACAGGAGCAAAACGGAAGACAGGCACCCAGTTTTCATGAAGAAAGAATATGGAATGGCCCTGTTCAATATTTTGAAAAGAGCTGGGCACATTAAATCTAGTAATTTTAGCTGTTTCTAAAAGAAAAACAGATTCTGACGTCAAGGAAGCCCCAAGGAAGACCATTTCCATTAGGAACTCCATCAAATGACACAAGGGGAAAATAAAAATTTCCAGCTCTGGAAACGAGTCCAAGTCCTTTGATGTGCTGTTTGCTTTGGTCCCGATTCCCTTGCCTGGAATTCACATGTGGGTCGTTTCACAGACAAGTGTAGGAAGAGCTATAACTGATTCCCCTTCTAGCTGTGATCCCAGGACAGCAGCACCAGGCTGCCTTCTCTGGCCTGAGAGCCTCAATAAGATCCTAGAAGGGCACCAAGAAAAAGACTCCAGGAAACCAGGCTGGGGCATCTAAACTCAATCACCTCCCTTATTGTCAGTTGCCACCTGTTTTAAGTGGCCATTCTTGGTCACTTACTTGTATGCCCAAACAGGAGAACTTTGAGAAATGACAAATTTAACTCCTGCCTTTTATAGATGGAAGTCCATGGAGGGCTGAGATGTGCTCAAGCCAGTTAGTAACCAAAATAACGAACCTGCTTAATTGTATGTTTTGAATATTATAGTTTAAAACAGTAATTTTTTCAACTGTCGTATCAGTGAGCAAGGGATTTGAATGTTTCCATTTTTTGGTTATGCTCTCACGAGCCTCTTAGGCACTGAGAGAAATGCCCATAAAGGCAGTACCTTGCACCTAACATTGGCCTAACAATTTGACAGCTGGAGAGAAACATTACATTTTACATTTTCTATTTTAAATAGGATACCCACCAAACTTTAAGATGGCCTATATCCTCTGTAAGTTAATAACAACACAGTTATTTATCAGACTAAATTATATCTGAGTCATGGTAGAAACCTGTGGCCCTGGGCTGGTAACTTTCAGGAAAAATCTGGAAGAAATATTTTGAAATGTGGTTTATTACCAAAGTAATACTAGTAATAAGTTGTTTATGTTACAGTTATGCTGATAAATGTTAGTTAAGTTATATTATCAAGTATACACAGGTTCTCCAGGTAAACTCTTGAAGAAGTATTGATACTAGATTATATACTTATATAAAAGACTAATATGCTAAGTGTCCCTCAGACCATCTGACTGGTTGCTATGATGTACACTGACCACCAGGGGGCAGACGCTCAATGAAGGAGTGGCCGTGATGCGCACTTCCCATTTATAAGGAAGCTAGAGGCCTGGTGCATGAAATTCATCCAAGGAGGGAGGCATTCCTCAGCCTGGCCTGCACTTTCTCCAATCTGGGACCCCTCAAGGGATGTCCAATTGCCCTGAGGGATAGGGCCTAAACCAGCAGTTGGACATCCCTCTTGGAGTTTGGGACCGCTGGCTCCTAACTGCTCACATGCCTGCCTGATTGCCCCTAACTGCCTCTGCTTGCCAGCCTGATCGCACCCCTGCCAGCCTGGTCACCCCCTAACTGGCCCCCTGCTGGCCTGGTAGCCCTCTAACTGTCTGGAAGGAACTTGAATGCCCAGATGTCTGGTCGACCTGGTCTAATTAGCATATTACCCTTTTATTAGTATAGATGGTACGGCAAATCTAGTGCTGACAAACCAACACATGGCTTCTCCCAAGTGGGACACAGGCCCCACTACCTCCTCAGAGTGATAGCCCACCAAATAGCAGCCAATGCTGCCAAGATCCCATGGCTTAAAATGCAGCCCACAGCCCAGCCCAGCCTAGAAATGGGTGCCAGGTAATGATGTCACATGGCAATGCCTGGCTTCCTCTCCCTAGCGACTAGCTCCTTGGAGTTTCTTCAGCCAAGAACATGACTTGCTAGCTCCTTGGAGTTTCTTCAGCCAAGAACATGACTTGCGTTACAGCCAGGTACAAACATTTCACACTGTAACCAAATGCCTGTGAAGCGTTTTCACGTGCCTCATCTCATTTGAACCTAACATAAGTCCTGGAGTAGGTAGATAGGACAATCGGTAGAATCCTATTTTCTTTTCATTAGCCGGAAAACAGAGATTTAGAAAGTTTAGAAAATTGACCTGACTGAAAAGAAGAAACGGTGGACCTTAAAAATGACTTCAGGTTTTCTCACTGCACAGAATATTGTCAAACACTGCTGCAGTTAAATATTTTACCCTTTGTTCTCCCTGCATGATCTATAATAATAATTTGATTCGTGTTAATATTTACTGCTATGTTGCTCACAATGACCTGAAAGAGAAGTTGGGGTGCTTCCCTGGGCTGGAAAAAGTTTAGCAAATCAGAAAGCAGATCTAATTAAGCAAGTTTATCTATAATAATAAAAAATTAAAATGTTAATTTTACTGGATATCATTGCGGACGTCTTTTTGGGTGAAGCCGGGGCCAGAGTGAAGCCGAGGTCCTGGGTATCAGAGGGAAGCTGGTGCCAGTAGCCGGGCTGTTGGCTTAATTAAGGCCATTGGCAACATCAATGATTCCTCCTTCCGTGTACTCTAAAAATGTTCTCCCTCAAGGTCCTTTTTATGAAGATTCCTGGGAAAAATAACTGTCCAGTCCTAGTGTCAAGAATAGTTGTACTATGGGTTGAAAAGCCATTTACTTTTAGCACTGGCTGCTAGACAACTTCCAGTAGCAAGTTTAAATAGAACATTTTCCCACCTAACAGCTATAACAATTACTGAAATGTTTCCCCCTTCCCCGTGCCCTCCTCCCCTTCCCCATGCCTTTCCCCCCAGGCGAAGGAAGGCCTATTCTGGCTCGAATTTTGTGTTTTAGGCCTCTAGTCTTATATATAAAGCTCTCGCTTACGCCAATTACACATGTGTGTTTCCATCTGTCATTGTTAATCATGAATTTGGTCGACACTTCTATTATAGAGAAAGGGCAAATAGCAATTATTAAAATATTTCTTTTAATTAATTTCTTTTCAATGTGCATGAATTTGTGCACTGGACCACTAGTATTTTTATAAAATGGGCAAAGAGGATGTGTCAGAGTAAGCAGTGATGAGAACTATGTAATTGTGTAGAAAGTCAGGGATAGGAGTCTTGAGAGGAGGGAACTAGAGGAAACAAAATTTTTGATGGTTAAGGAATAGGATTAGAGACTATAGTGTCTCCTTTACAGATGCAAATATAGTTTCAGTAAAACAGAGCTTTCAAGCAAGATTGAACTTTAAAAAATAAAAAATATCTTAAAGCAAATTGGCCAAAACCGGTTTGGCTCAGTGGATAGTGTGTCAGCCTGCTGACTGAAAGGTCCCAGGTTTGATTCCGGTCAGGGGCACGTACCTTGGTTGTGGGCACCTCCGAAGTAGGGGGTGTGCAAGAGGCAGCTGATCAATGTTTCCCTCTCATCGAAGTTTCTAACTTTCTATCCCTCTCCCTTCCTCTCTGTAGAAAATCAATAAAATATATTAAAAAAAAAAAAAAAGCAAATCACATTTTCTCAGTTCCTTTGTACAGAAGCTATACTTTACTAAGATAATAAGTTTTCTAATGCAAAAACAATTTCATATTTTAATTTCCTCTTCATGGAAATTAGAGATCCTTTGTCTTTTTTAATTTCAAATGTTGATTTAATGGCACATGTTTTTAAAACAAGGGCTGAAAGAAAACTAATAATATTTTATAAAATTCTATTGGTTGGAGGTTAAAAAATATAGTAAATTTACCAAATTTTTCCTAAAAGTGCACTGACTCGAACCCTAATAAAAGATTCTAAGCCCTACATTGTGAATTTAGATTCATTTTCTACTGCAGAAAATTAAAAGTGATTCTGATAATTTCCCAAATCTGAAACACAGTGCAAAAGGCTGTTTGCTTAATTAAGGCCATTGGCAACATCAATGATTCCTCCTTCCATGTACTCTAAAAATGTTCTCACTCAGGGTCCTTTTTATGAAGATTCCTGGGAAAAATAACTGTCCAGTCCTAGTGTCAAGAATAGTTGTACTATGGGTTGAAAAGCCATTTACTTTTAGCACTGGCTACTAGACAACTTCCAGTAACAAGTTTAAATAGAACATTTTCCCACCTATCAGCTATAACAATTACTGAAATATTTCCTTCCTTTGTTGCTGAAGTCAGGTTATTTTTACTTTGACCAGGAAAAAAGGACAAGAACTGTCTACTTAAGGATGTAGACCTTTTTTGTTCTAAGCTTTCTCCTATTCATTTCTGTAAGTAAAATAATAAATAAAACTCCCATGAAGGTTCTAGAAACTATAAGAGGCTATGGTCCTTGTCCCACTTCTAGAATTAAAGGTGAACTGTCCCGTTTTCCTCACCCTTCCCTGGGTGCCTTTCATTCAGTGATGTGATGGATAGCACACAAAGTGACGGCCAGAAGAGGGAGGTTCTAGCTTCAGCTGCTAACAATTAGCTCTACGACTTTTTTTGTGGTTTGGTACCCTTATCTTAAAATAAGGATGTTGATGCCAAGACCGGTTTGGCTCAGTGGATAGAGAGTTGGCCTGGGGACTGAAAGGTCCCAGGTTCGATTCTGGTCAAGGGCATGTACCTTGGTTGCGGGCACATCCCCAGTGGGGAGTGTGCAAGAGGCAGCTGATTGATGATTCTCTCTCATCGATGTTTCTAACTCTCTGTCCCTCTCTCTTCCTCTCTGTAAAAAATCAATTAAAAAAAAAAAAAAAAAAGGATGTTGAGTTGGATAATCTCTAAGGTTCTTCTAGAACTGAGCCTGTCTTCATTACAGAATATTTTAGGGACCATGAAACACATTTCCATTCCAGCTCTCTAACTCTGGCCAGGAGTGAGTCCTGTAGTCCACTGTTACTTCTGTGCCCAAAGCTTAACCAGTCTCATGATCTTCCATTGCACCAGCATTTTCTGGGAATGCCCTTTGTGACCTGTTCCTGAGCACTGGATCTTTTAACACCTGCTGTCCAGCAGTACCCATCCTACCCTATGGGCAGCACAGAAGTAGGCATTGGGGGGGGAGAGGGAGGCGGGGGGAGGGGTAAGCAGGGCTGTTAATGCAGGCTCTGATCAGAGGAGACTTCTTACCAAAGAGCTCAATGTAGACTTCCTGAAGTGTATGCACACTGCAGAACTGGTTCAGTTCATGGTGGATCTTGTTGAAGATGAGGGCCTTGTCGTAGTCGGCAGTATAGTTCTTCACTATATCATATACTGGAAGGGAAGGGAGATTCCAGAATAAAAGGCAGGTTTCAAAACTCGCCGAATAGAGGCAGACTTAGATATAGAGAGCAGGATGACAGCTGTTGGGAAGGGTGACTGGCACTGGGAGGGGGGTGGAGGAAATATGCAAAAAAAATACCAAAGGATGTAAACAGTGTGCTGATTGACAGGAGCGGTGGGGGTGCTGAGAGGTGGAGAAGAGTAAATGGTGTTGAACACACAATACAGTGTTGTAGAATTGTGCAATTGAAACCACTATAATTTTTTTTTAACTAGTGTCACCCCAATCTATATATATAAAAAGCCAGCAACCAGACCATTGTAATGACCAGAATGACTGGTCACTATGATGCCCACTGCCACCAGGTAATAGACCTGATCGTGGGTGGGGCCAGCCAGCCAGCCAACCTCCCACAGTCCCTCCCCCAGCTGGCCCCACTATTGACCTCTCCCCTTACCCCAATAGGGAGCAGGACTGGCCAACTGTCTCTACCTCTGGCTGGCCCTGCCCACAATGGGCCCCCACCATCCCTATAGGCCCGTGGCCTCTTCCCCCAGCCAGCTCCGCTCCCAATCAGGCCCCCACTCTGATCAGAAGCCGTGCTGGCCAGCCAACCACCCATGGAACCTCCCCACTGGCTGGCCCTGCCCGATCGGTTCCCCGCACCAATCAGGGACAAGGCTGGCCAGTCAACCTACGGCCCCTCCCCCCTGGTCAGCCTGGCCCTGATTGTTGGTGAGCCAGCTGGCCAACCTCCCACCATCTCCACCTCCTGACAGGCCTGGCCCCGATCTGCATTGGTTGAGGCCAGACTCAACCTGTGCATGAATGTGTGCACTGGCCCTCTAGTAAATTCAATAAAAAGGAAATAAAAAACCAAAAACCTTTCTCAGACATTGAAGTTCTGACTTCCTGAGGTGCTGCAACAGACACTAGGGTTGCATCTTGGGGAAAGTAAGCTGGTGATAGGGGTCAACTGGAAAACTGTACCTGCACTTGGGACCAGGAAGTTCACCACTTCAATTCTGTCAAAGTAGATCATCACACCACCACTAAGAGGAAGAATGGACAAAGAAGTCACTGGTAAGCTCTGAAATATAGTCACAAAACCAACCATTCCCAAACCTAAAAATCAACAATAATTCCTTAACATTATCTAATATTCATTTATTCAAATTTCTCCAATGATTCCCATTATAGTCTAAATTATGTGCCCTCCTAAACCTGTATGTTGAATTTCTACCCCCCAATGCGACTATACTGGAAGATGGGACCCTTAGTTAAGGTAAAATGAGGTCATAAGGGTGAGACTTGTAACTGATTGCACTTGTTAAAAAAAGAAAAAGAAAAAAGAAGACATCTTTTTCTCCTCTTTTCCCAGGTGCAGAGAAAAGGCTGTGCGAGAACAAAGCAAGGCAGCCAACTGCAAGCCAGGAAGAGAGGCTTCACCAGGAACCAATCCTGCTGGCACTTCGATCTTGGACTTTGACCTTTTATAACTTGAGAAAATAAATTTCCATTGTTTAAGCCATCCAGTGTGTGGTATTGTGATGGCAGCCCTCGTTGACTAATAATGGTTTCATCAAGTTTTTATAGCTATTAGTTTTGGACCAGGTTCTAATTAAGGGTCACCTTTGTATATGTTTGTCTTTTAAGCTTCTTTTTCAACCCAATGCCCGTCCAAATACGACTTCGTGCCAAGATTAGACGTATTTGGTTGTTCCAATTCTGGACTCTCCAAATGTTTCCTGTGGACTTGTTTACTGTGCTGCTCTATCCCGGTTTAGACCTTTACTTTTCAGCCAGATCACTACAGTGATGTCATCTTTGGATTTCCTGCCCTAAGGCCTTCCCCACCATTAAGACATTCTCTATAGTTAGTTATGCTAAACTTATTTTCCTCTATCAACTCATTTATCTGCTAAAAACCTTTAGAAGATCCTCACTTCTGAAGTTCAAACTTCTTACAGCATTTGAAGCCCTTCCCAACCTGCCTAACTTCTGTGATTTTTCTCTACTGCACTCTGCCACCTAGTGGAATCAGAAGAGGGAGCTAGGGGGCAGGGGACGTGATAAAACCAAGGGGTGACTCCCTTTCCACTATCTCTTACATCAGCCAGCCCGACAGCCCTTTCTCTTATGTGGGCGTAATAGTTTTATTCCAGGCACCTTACCTAGTCCCACAAGGTACATTCTTCACCTCATCTGTCTGAAGTGTGGTCTGGAAATAGAGGAGACACAAAATGCTGTAAGATGGGCAGTGACAAACAAGTAACTTATTTCTGGAATCCCAAATGTCCTTGTTCTTTAGTAACTATTTGGGTTGAGCTTTGTCTCTGTTAACCATGAATACCCCTCTGAATCCTCCTGACTTACAAGGTGTGAGACTAGCCAAAGAAAGATACTTTGCCAGCTTTCACCATAAATGAACCACTACATGAATGAGCTGGGTAATACTAGTTTAGTGAAAAAGACCCTGGACCAGGAATCCCCTCTTCCATTTATTGGTCTTGAAACAGATTCTTTACTTAACCTGTCTCAGCCTATAGCACCTGCTCAGCCCATTCTCAGGATCACTGTGAGACCCAAATGAGATAATGTGCATAAATGAACTTTGAAAACCATAAAGCAGAGTACATGGCAGAAGAAACTTACAAGGATAATGCTGATGAAGTATCCCAGGATATTGGACATACTTCAAAGATGGCTAGTCTAACGTAAGTAATCCTACTCCTATTTTAGATATCATATCCCTTCACCAAGTTTAACTTCCCTCGTCTTTCCCCAAAATTATGTTCTCATCTCTGAAGTTCAAATACGAACCAAGAAAATTACCATATTTTATTTCCATCTATCTTGGTAGCTTGTGATTTAAAACACAGACACACACACTCTACTTTTCCTTCTATACATTCAAAACAGGTTCTTCTATTTGAAAGTGAAGAAATACTTCCTAGCTGGACTGATGGGCCACGGCAAGGACTCCATTCAACTACTTCAACAATCAGAAAAGTTTCAGAGTTAATGGAGCTTCATTCTTCGTATTTGTGAAACTTACTCTTAAATGATTCCTTGAAAAGGCATCACACTCACCCAATGGCTAACTAATTCCAAATCATGCATTAGCCAACATCCCAAATCTGCAGTTGTCCAGCCATCCCATACAAGCCAAATATACCTGCACAGACTTATATGATGTGATGAAAGGGAGCATGAGATGGAAACCAGGGCCGCTGGTGGAAGTCAGCAGGGCACCGCCTCTGCAGAGAAGAGAGGGGCAGGTTCAGTTTAGCAGGAGGTACCTATTACATTGATATTCTTTGGGCCAATTTTCCCTTCAGCCCCATAAATGTTTAATATGGAGTGAAAAGTGCCAGAGCCACATCCACAGATCCCTTCCTTCCTCCCAGCTAGACCCTAATATTCTAGGAAGCCTAATGCTAAAACATAAAACCGTTACTCATGCTTTCACAGCAAGAAAAAGAGGCACTCAGGCTAAGTGGAGTAAAGGCAGCAGAATTCCTGGCTATATTTGAGAGAAGTCTAATTTACTTTGTTGTGTCTGTTGAACTTGTGGCAATCCATTTGGGCACTTTTAAATCCAATAATACAGTAATCAATGAACTGCACTAGCATTGGATTCCAGTGACACCAACACCAAAAGAATAATCTTATTTTACAAATCATTTTAATATACATTTTTGTCAGTAGCGTTACCTTTCTAATTAAGTTTGAAAATGGCAATAAAATTAAAAGCCATTTGGGGGGGACATGTAAGTAGATGGTAGGGAGAAATAATTAAAGGGGAGCGGGAAACCCAACCAGACGTTTAGAACTTGCTAGAGGCAATCTGGAAATAAGCATCACAGGGCACATAATAAGAAGGGGCCATAAAGACTTCAAGCAAAAAACTTGGTTATGGAGGTTTCTAAACGGAAAGCAATCCCACACATAAGTGCTTCTTTGTTTTACATTATAAAGTTAAAGCAACTTAAAAAAAAAAAAAGGAGCAATGAAATAAATAGTGACATAATGAACTTATAAGAACCACTATTTTAGGGTTTGCCTTGATCGATATAAATCAACCTGCAGGTGCTTTCATTTTTCTGAAATGTTAATTTTAAAGAGTAGGTCCAAATTAGCAGAGCAGACCAGCATCTCAAGTTGCCATCAAGAACTGGTACTCAGCAGAGGGAATTTTGTGGCACCAAGATGCTGACAGGGATGTAGGAGAGAACGTTTCAGATAATCTGCAAGGAGCTTTGGCTGCCTTTAGGCTTTGTCTGAATCTCTATAAACAGTTATCAATTGCCATCTATCAACTTAGACTACTAAGTTTCATATTTACATTTGTGTGTGTGTGTATTTCCCCATACCCATGGTCACTAACACAAAAGTTCAACCAAAAGACTTCCATATTCAACAAAACATAAACACAGACATTCAGCAGAATCTGGACAGTGACTAGGAAAGAGTCCTTTCACAGAAAGTTGCAAGCTCCTCCCTGTCTCTGCCTTACCTGTAATACACCCCAATATGCCCCTCCTCTATCTTGTGCACGGCTGAGAAGAGAGCTGCGCAAAAGAAACTGGTAGCCACAGCCACAACCGCTCCCAACTGAGCCATCCGTGGACCTGTATCCTAGGGGAAAAGATACGGGAAAACGTGTCTGGTCTGCCCTGCAGGACAGGAGCTGTGACAGCGAGAGGCACCGCACCAAGCTGAGCTCCCTGGCTCACATCAAGCCTGCTGTGCGAGCACGAGGCCAGATCCACAGCGCCCTCCATCCCCACTGCCATTCCCTAACCGTGGCGCTCCAGTCCCCACCTCGCGGAAGAGGCAGTGATTCCACACAAGCCGCAGCCCCAGGGAAGAGCCGGTGCCAGCTGGGCAACGTTCAGAACACAGCCTTCCCTTCCTGTGAACAGCCACGCGCTGTCACAGGAGCAGCCCATGCTGGTAAAAGGGAAGGAGGCAGCTGCGGCCAGTTGGCGCAAATTAAAGAGGAAGTCCAATGACAGGCAGTTGTGTGGCATGTAATTCTGGTCGGAGCCTCCCCCGGTCTTAATTGTCTGCCACTTCAAAGGAAACCATTATTTACTTCTTTCAGAGGCTGGAGCGGCAGAGACAGCATGCAAACCGAGGTCCCAGGTGGGGTTCTCTGGCCTTGGTCCACCTTTCCGGTTACTCCCTTTGGGTCCTAAATGGGAGAGGGCTCCAACCAACACCGAAGCCACACTCCCTCCCATGCACCTGACCGGTGCTTTGCAAGCTCAGGGTTAGAGAAAGGGAGTCCTCCGGGCTGGAAAGACTCTGGACCACTGGGTCCCACTGTGCTCGGGCACCGAGATGCAAAAGACTAATAGGCACCCAGAGACTCATTTCCGGAACCCTGAATGATCTGGCACAACCAGGGCAACTGGCACCAAAGTTCACAACCAGCGCGCCCGAGCCAGCGCGCGCGCGGGGCGGGGTTCCGCCTCGTGGGGCTCAGAGGAGCGGGGCGCGCGCACCTGCGAGGCGCTCCTTTCACCTGGGCGGCCTCCGGCTACGGATCTGCAGCTGCGTCCTTTCCGCAAACGCCCTTCCCTTCGGATGTCACCCCCGCCCCACCGCGCGCCCCTTCCTAGAGAGAAGCTCGTGCATCCCCAGAGCTCAGGGTAGGGGTCGGGGCTCCCAGCGCCTCTGCCCTGTCCCGCTCGGGAGCTAGAGAGAAAGAGAGAGAGATTCGGGAGAGAGAGGGTTGCTGTCGCGCTCCGGGGGGACAGAGGCTGCAGGGGGGGCCCGGGTGCAGCAGCTGGGCCCAATGCACGCACTAAAGGGGCGGGGGCCGCGTACCGGGTGTCCCTCCAGGCGCTCCGTACCCGTCCGAACCCCCTTCACAACCGCAGAAACCGCCACACCCCTCCGCCCGCCACTTCCTTCCGGGCCGGTCGCGGCGATGACGCCTTTAGTTCACGCGAGAAGACCACACTTCTCTCCCCCCCCCCCCCCAGCTCCTCCGTTAGCCCCGCCCCGCGCTCCGGACGAGCAGTGTCCCAGGACGGCCGCCAAGGGGCGCCCGCGACAAGGCCCGGGCGGGCTGCAAGCTGGGTCTAGGGTTTCAGGGGGTGAGGTGGTGCTGAGCGTGCCCCTTTCCGACGTTTTGGCTCTGGAGATTGCTCTGGATTCTCCTCCCCATTAGGTCAAAAGACTTCTCTTTTTTTTTTTTTTTTTTTTTTTCTGGAGCAGGTAACAGGGATTCGCGATAGTTTTTAGCCCTCTGCCCGCCGCTCTTCTGCAGCCCCGCTCCATGCAACATCTTTTAAATGTGCAGATTAGCACCGTCACGTCGCTAATGAACAGTCCCCACTTTCAATTGTCCTTTATTATGCTTTTGCAGGAGCGTCGGCCTGTGAGGTCCCCTACGGCATCATAAAGTAGATTGAGGAGGAATTATTCTTCCAATTTTAGTGGACGAAGTTCTGAATTGAGTGAGGTGCGAAGGTAGCAATGGACAAAAGCCTCCTTGGCGCTTCCTGACGCCAGGAGCTTAATGAACGGCCTCGGTAACTCCTGCCGCAGGTCCAGAGGCTGTGCACCCCCTCGCTTCACTGGCTAGACTGGAAGTCCTCTGAGGCCAGAGGCTGCTCTTCCCTCAGCATGCTTAGTAAACACAGACTTTGTGCTTAGTAAACAGACTGAACAGTGGAACCAGCGCCAGGACCCAGGCTTTGTGTCTCTCACTGTAAGGGCCTCAGCAGGTGGTCCACAAAAGCTTCCACCGTTCAGCAGCGTCGTATTGGGACATTTCTAAGTCAGCCATTGAAGTTATTTTGTTTGCGGAAGAGGAAGAGTCCCCATAATTACAGCCTTCAGCAAGTGAAAAGCTTGTATACAGGGCAGATGACAAGCTGGTGGTGCTAGATTTAGGATCCAGGAAAAAGGAAACTGTGGTTTTCCAGGCTTGGCTGCTTGGGATTCGCTGGGAATCACCCTGGGTTTGTTCTGGGTGAGTTTGTGTTGGAAAGTTTCAGTATTATGTGGTTAAGTCCACACTAGCAGGCTGCATGGTGCGGCCTGGGAGCTCTGTGCCCACCTCCTCTATAAATGACGGCCTGTCCTCTCCCCACCTGGTTCCTACAATTCCCCCCGAGGCCCCAGTTGGCCAATCTCCTGATTGATCCTTCAGAACTTGATCAGTGATGTAACGCAGCTGCATGCTGAATAAATGTTTATTTTAAAGCTGAGTGAATGAATAAGAGAAATGGAAATATTGGGGTTTATCAGGCCCAAGGAATGGGCTCAACCTGGAGCATAAAGGGTTTAAGTTAAGTTGTAGCTTAAGCATTTCCTGACTATTAAACTTAGTAATGGACTATGAACAGAAGTAGAATTTTGTTCTCAGGACAGCTTTTTAAAATTAATTTTTTTTTTTTTTAAACCAGGCTTGAGTTGTTTAGTTGTGGCCTTGCCTAGAGGCAGGGGTTGGATTTTAGTAGATAATTTCTGAAAAATCCCTTTCTTAAGAAACCTGTGATGGTTATGACTCAGTGTGCAAAGTTATCAGGCAGGTAAGTCTGTCATGATTTATTTAACAAAAGTGTTTAAAAACCTATTAAAAAAAACTTGCAGTATAGTTACTAAGCAGATATTCCACAGTTAGTCTGCCAGGATTTAAATCCACTCCCTCCCCCAGCTTTTTATTAGTCGTGTGATCTTGGTAAATCACTCAGTGTGCCCCAGTTTCTTCATATGTAAAATGGGGTAACAATAATAGTATGAATTTGTTCTTAGGGTTATATGACTGATTAAGAAAAGCATGTACAATGTTTGGCACACTTTAAGGGTTCATTGTATTAGCTATTGTTTCAAATAGCAAATTCCCTTAATGTGTTCTTACCTGTTTGTGGATTCAGATTATTAATGTAACAGAAGGCGAGAGAAAGGTAAACTCAAAGTTATGTGGTATTGAGTAATTACCAAGTGAAATTATACCTCAACAATACAAATTTCATAAAGCATTATTAAGTATTATGTACCAGACCCTACGCCTTTCTTGTTTTATATAACCTTCAGCTCAGCCCTTTGAGTTCAACTCCATTTTAGAGGAGGAAGTTGAAGCTTAGAAAAGTTAAGGATTGCCCAAGATCACCAAGCTTGTAGATTTCAAAGGCAGATACATGTGGCCCAAGTCTGTTTCTTCATTATAGTAAATGAATTAGAAAATTACGATTCAACCTAACACACACACACACACACAACATTTATTTTACCTGTAACCTTTTAGGAATGTAGACCAGTGGTCAGAAATTGTGAAACTTTAAATTGGGCCAGTTCATTTTGCATTTGTAGGTTGAAGCAGGATAAAAAAAAATACTCCCACCACAGCCATCCACATCTCCCTGTCCCTGGATTGCAGCTTGTTTAGTCCCGGAAGAAGCTAATCGGTGAGAGTTGCCACTCTAAAGAGAGAAGAAACCCTTCTTTCATAATTAGAGCCCTTTTGATTAATAACGTGGGTTACGCCCAAAGGAACCAGGCAACTATTAAAATATTTGGTTCCAGTTTATTTATATCACAAGATTTGCTTTTTCTTCTTGACTTTATGCTCTAAACTAGGGGTGTCGAACTCAATCAGAGAAGGGGCCAAAATCTAAAATCCAGCCTAAATCGAGGGCCGAATGGTTTACTGAACAGTCATAAACTGTCATTGTGATGGAAACGCAGTGGAGTGCAGTGATGACAGCGCGGTGCGGGCCACATTGCAAGGCCTGGCGGGACGGATTTGGCCCGCGGGCCTTGTGTTTGACACATGTGCTCTAAACGGAGAATAAAAGTTGTCTTTCAGGATTTGACCCCACAAGATTTTGGTGAACGTAGGGAAGAGGGGTGAACTATATCCTTCATTATTAAGAGGGTTTTACTTAGAACTTCCCCCTCTTGTTTTCAAATATCCTAACAACGAAAGGATATTTGCTTGGGGCTAGTGATGTTTCCTAGAGCAAGTTCTATAAAGAGATCAAAGAGGAAATCATAAAAAAGAAAATGGAGTTGAAGTCAGTTGGAAGTCACCTAAAGATCACTTTGTGATTATATGTTTTTACAGCTTAATTGAGGTATAATTGACATATAATATAAAGTGCACAACTTGGTAGCTTTTGACATACCTGTGAAGCCATGACCACAATCAAGACAATGAACACGTATTTCATGCCCCAGATTTCCTTTTGTAATCTCTCCTTCCAACTCCTCTCCATGACCCGTTCCCCCATGTCCAAGCAACAGCGGATCTGCTTGTCACCAAACTTTAGTTTGCATTTTGTAGAATTTTATAAAAGTAGAATCATATAGTTTATATTATTTCTTTGGGAGGAGGCTGTCTGGCTTTTTTCCTTTTTTTATCCAGAGTAATTATTTGGAGATTCATCCATGTTGATGAGCATATCAATAGTCCATTCCTTTTTATTACTAGGTAATATTGAATTGCACAACTGTACAATTTGTTTACTCATTCATCTGTTGATGGACATATACATTGCTGCCTGAATTTTAATCCAACCCATTTATTTCACTCATGGAGGAACAGAGGGCAAAGGGAAGTCTGCACAGAGGGGGTTTGGTCAAAGCCACAGTGCATATGGGCAAGGGCGAGAAAGCAGTCTGCTACCCTGGGAAACTGTGCCAACAGGCCTGACCGTTTGAGGTGTGGCCTGGCTGGTTTTGCCCGGAATCATCATTCTTCTGACATCTCTGAATACATAATAATGTTAGGAATTGAAAAGAAAAAAAGATTATATAGCATTCTGTCTGTATATATTTATCTATACATTTCTCTGTATCATGGATAGTCTCCATTTGTCATAGACAAAGAATACCTTATGTACTTAGTATGTGAATCTCAGAGCATAAGGGAAACCAGGTTCCATTATAGGCCAGCCTTTCCCCATCTCCTCTCTCCTCAGGGACCTAGAGCCTTCAGTTATCTCCTTACTCTGCCAGTTCTTCAGCTGCAGCCTGTATAGTCTTGTGCAAGTCCCTGCCTCCCCTTGAGCCCCTCAGTGGATCCTGTGTAAGTCTCTAGTTCTCACCTGATTTGTGCTCTTCATTTTTAAGCAAAGTTCTTTAAAAGTCTTTTCTTCTTTATGTTCCATTCCTTGTTTTCAGTCCTCAGTTCCTTTCTCCGATGCCCTTGTGCTATTGGCCTACCCCTTACCTTAAGGTATACACCTCCCCACCCTGTCCCTCCTGGTTTTCCTCCTATTTGTCCAAGTGTTCCCATTGTAGTCTCCATTATGAGCTCATCCTCACATGTTCCTCAGAACTCCATCCTTGGCCCACAGCTCTTCTTTCTCTGCCTCCTCTTTCTGGAAACTTTTATGTGCTCTCAATATTCTAATTATGTGGTTGTTGATGATTCGACCAAGTGCATACCAATAGCCATGGAGTTATAGACTAGAATACCCTCTCTTTGGATACTGGAGGGGGATATACCAATCATGTCTCAAACTGACTTCATAGTTTCTCTCAAATGTTTTCCTCCCAATAAAGGAGTCACCATGCACTCAACCATCCAAGCCAGACATCAGCCTCTACCTTATTCTGCCCCATCATTTAGTTATGTGGTTCTAAAGTATTCCTTCACCCTGTACTCTCCTCTCTGCACATGGTCCCACTTCAGGGCCTTATCACTTCTGACTTGGATCATTGTAAGAATCTAAGGTTAGTGATCTTACCCCAACTTGTAGCTTACTCTTAATCAGTGCATCGTCCCCATGG